TGTCCGTACCCCCACACATAATAGCTATAAGCGAAACCAAACTAGTTAATAATTTTTCCTCTAACATAGGCATTGATGGATATAACTTTATCCACGCACCATCTGCTACTAGAGCAGGAGGTGTAGGCGCCTATATCAGAAACGATATTACGTTTACTGTAACCGTAGAAAATAGCGTTCAATATCCTAACTGCGAAAACTTATGGTTTGAAATTGTTTTAGAAAATGCCACTGACAAACTGGTAATTGGTGTCATTTACAAACACCCACGCAACGATATTTCTGATTTTACGAACATATTCGAACCATCCCTGGCCAAATTGGCTAATAAAAAATTTCTCATTGTAGGTGACTTCAATATTAATTTATTTTCAGCTGTTATCAATACTCAAATTATGAACTATATCAATATGCTTGTGTCACACAATGCTATTTCTATAATATCTGAAGCCACAAGGGTCAGCCCCACCTCAGCCACCCTTATTGACCACATGTATACCAATTTAACGCACTTAAAAATAGAATCTTATGTTGTTCTTTCTGACGTAACCGATCATTATCCCATCCTTTGCTGTTTAAGTGGCATCAAACCTATAAAAACGAATGAGTGTATATTGTCAAGGGATATGTCAAGGTTCTCAATTGATGCCTTTCGATCTGAAGTTCAAAACAGCATAAATAATCGATTTGCCACAATTAGTTTAAACGCTGAGAACTTTGACAGCATATTTGATGAATTCATACAGTCATTCGTTAGTACCATCGATCGGCATGCCCCACTTCGACAACTATCACGTCGGCAAAAACGGTTAAGGTTAAAGCCATGGCTAACCAAAGGGTTGATCAATTGTACGAGACATAGAAATAAGTTATTTAAAACCCATTTTTTATGTGGCAACGCTCTGCAACGGTCATACTTTAAGAAGTATCGAAACACACTTACTTCCGCATTAGAAAAAGCGAAGCAAATTCACTACCAAAATCTTATCTCTCAGAACAAGGGCAATCCAAGGTATACATGGCAAATTATAAACCAACTTACAACCACAAAAAATAACTCAAATAAACAAATAATTCAGGAAATCTGTCTTGAAAATGGCAGTATACTGAAAGACGGTTGCTTAATCGCGGCTGAATTCAATAAGTATTTTTCTACGGTCGGATCTAACTTGGCAGCCAAGTTTTCCAATGATATGTGTGACTTTAGGCCATTTCTTTGTAACCGTGTTAGTAAATCCATTTTCATGACTTTGGCCACTGAATCCGAATTAATGATGGAAATTCTGAATTTGAAGGAAAGAAAGGCAGTTGGCCCGGATAACATCCCACCTCGCTTCCTAAAATTCGTTGCTGAACTGCTCGCGCCTTTTCTCGTGAAATTGTTCAACTGCTCCCTCGCATTTGGAATCTTCCCTTCATCACTCAAAGTCGCTCGAGTGATACCGCTCTTCAAATCTGGTAACAAAAAAATTGTTTCAAACTATAGGCCAATTTCTATCCTCTCTTCAATTAATAAAATATTTGAACGTCTAATTCACATTAGGTTGACCAATTTTTTCACAAAACATAATGTAATAAACAAACACCAATTTGGCTTCCAAAACAATCAGTCCACATCACACGCAATTTTAGATACAATTTCTTATATCTATGACAAATTAGAAAGGAAAGAATTTGTGAGTGCAATTTTTGTCGATCTGAAGAAGGCTTTTGACACTGTCAATCATGATATCCTAATGAACAAGTTGTGGCATTATGGCGTCAGGGGATTACCTAATAAACTCCTCCATAGTTATTTAAGTGATCGAACTCAATACGTTCAAGTAGGAAACTACTGCTCGTGCGTCTTACCTGTGACACACGGGGTCCCACAAGGATCTAATTTGGGGCCTTTATTATTTTTGATCTACATCAACGATCTCGCCCATTGTTCATCATTCCTCTCAAAATTATTCGCGGATGACACCAATCTCCTCGATAGCGACAAATCTCTCCCTGCTCTTCATTCAAGAGTGAACTCTGAAATAGTAAAAGTAGCTAATTGGATGAAGGCTAATAAATTATCTATAAACGTCGACAAATCCAAAACTATGCTTATTTCACCAAATAAACATAAAACTCAAACCAAATTTTCGATTGATATTGGCAACACTAGATTAGAAAATGTAAGTTCTTACAAATATTTGGGCATATTTTTGGATAGCCAATTGAAATGGGATATTCACATAATGAACTTGGCTGCTAAACTATCTAGATCGGTTGGAATACTGTACAAACTTAGGCACTTTGTACCTGTAACAACTCTCCGTATGATTTACCATTCTCTATTCCAAACCCACATTCAATATGGCATTATTGCATGGGGTTCAGCCAATAGAACTCTATTACATCAAATCGAGATTATCCAAAATAGAGCCATCCGTGCTCTTTCTGGTAGTGGACGTCGCGAACAACTCAATCCAATCTACCATGAACTTCAAATTATAAAACTGACAGATATTCATAAAATAGAGGTACTGAAACTGATGCATCAACATCATAACAATAAACTCCCTGTCACATTTACTCATTATTTCTATAAGCAAAGTAATATTCATTCACATAGTACACGGTCTTCTACCCATGGTTCTTACTATGTGCATCGTTTCACCTCCAAACTAACACAAAATTCAATAAAATATTTAGGTGTTAAATTATGGAACTCTTTGGCTGATAGTATTCGAAACATGAATTACGATGCATACAAACAAGCATTGAAAAAGGTATACCTAGGCGGCTATATACTTGATCCGTCAGCTTTTCAAATAATATGATTTCCTTTCCTGGCGTATTGTATATATCAGTACCGGTATATACGTTCATATAGTCTCCGTAACGTACGGCACCCTTCCGGTCTTGATGCCTCGCCCTGTTACCGGTACTGTGATGGGATATTGTTCCGTACAAATTCCGAGTTACTTGAATTCTTGCTGTTACCATATCCAGTTATTTTTTGTGTGATCCTACTCCACTAATAAAATGGTCCCCACCTTTCGTATCCAATATGCCTCAGTAGGCTACAACAACCAGCTTTTGATCGCTGCTAGCAACGAGCTTCATTCATTTCTTGTTACGGTCCATGAACGCACAGTTGAACCCCACGAGGGCGCTGTCGCGTGTATTATTACTCTGGTGGTATTTTGTGATTTTGTTTCTCTGTCAATTATGATTGATTAAATTTGTATAATTTTTTTTTGTCATTCCCTCTAAATCTCCAGCCCACAGGTGTCGCTGACTCGATGACTGTCACAGTCTTTCGCGACTCCTTATCTATTGCTATGAATCTCTCACTTGTATGAATTCTGATGTGTATATTTAATTTTTTACGATTGTCATTATACACGTTTGTCAATTTTTCGTGCTTTAAATTTTGTGTTAATTCTTGCATGATAGAAATAAATTATCTGAATCTGAATCTGAACCGTATTCCCCTTTTCCATTCCACAGTTTCTGGTTTGATTTCAAGTAATATCTGTCACGAAAGAATATAATTTAAAGCGACATTAAACGCGAGATGCGGAAAATACAACAAGTTTTCAGTGCTTAGGGCACCAAGGGGGCCTAATCCGCCCTTGAACAACATATATGTGATCTCTTAGAATTAGTCCTTTCTGGACAGAAGTTGAACTAGAAAATTATCATATTGGACCTAAAATTATTGCTTTCACTAAATAGCAGATTTTTCACACTGCTAAAAGATAAAGGGCTATAGTAATTTTGTTTTTGATAAATGAAAATAAAAAAATATCCCCTTCCCAAAGCACTAGTGGTATTTTTCGAAAAACAAATGAAATATGATCCAGTCTTTTTTTCGGGGAAAGACACACGGTAGAAAATTTTTCTGTTTGCGAATAATCTTAAACAGAGTCTAAAATTGGGTAAACTATTCTGATCACTAACGCGCATTTACCCTATAACCGCTGCATTTATGACATAAACAATGTAACAGTTCACTGGTTCAGGAAGCACAACTTGCCGACATCAAATGTTCATATGTGCTGTGAAACCCAGGTGAAACCCAAATAGTGTTATAGTCACTTTGATGAAACCGTAGCCAGGTATGAGCGTTAGCACTGTAGTACTAGTAGGATAGATATAGGATTTATAAATTTATTTATAATGCATTTTAATGTTAACATTTTAATGCATATTAAATGCATTTACCCTATAACCGCTGCATTTATGACATAAACAATGTAACAGTTCACTGGTTCAGGAAGCACAACTTGCCGACATCAAATGTTCATATGTGCTGTGAAACCCAGGTGAAACCCAAATAGTGTTATAGTCACTTTGATGAAACCGTAGCCAGGTATGAGCGTTAGCACTGTAGTACTAGTAGGATAGATATAGGATTTATAAATTTATCGACGAATACCGTATTCCTCTATTTCTTTAATAATCATTCGGCCAGAATGGCAAATGTAACAGGGCCGCACGAATGCTAACAATATGAAATTGATTATAACTGTATTGTATATACTAGAATGGGTGGTGGCTGACTTCAATTAGGTACCGTACAGCCGTACGGGGGTGGCTTTGGTAGTATCGCCATGTCCCAGTCTATAGCAAAATAACTGTTGTGTGGTTTATCATTTTAATATTACCGGTAATTTGTTTCTCTATGGTAGGCTACTTTCTGACTTACATGACCTTAGATTTTGCTTGCTTCCCTAATTCTGTTTTTATAATCAATCATTTTATTTCGGTTCTCTGACATAGGATAGAATTTACATAATTATCCCAGGGGAGAGGAAAGCCGATAAGACGGCTTATCCATATAGCGAACCACGGCCTCTCGTCCGGTTACCATTCCAAGTCGAGTATGGGATTAGTTATATTGTTTGTTTTCGGAAGCATGGACTTGGGGGTGGAGGAAGCTGTAACCGACCAGCGGTTACGTGAACCACCCAACGACGGCGAGGAGTCCAGCAATCCTCTCGCACATAACCATCCCTGCATGGGATTCGAACCTGCAAACCCACGCAGAGTAATTAGAGGTGCGGTGGCGAGCGTATTCCTAACGCTTAGCCCGCTGAGCCACACAGCCGTGCCGAACAACACAAAAAGTAAACGTACAAACAAAATGCAGAGATACCTGGGAGGCGAGCATAACTTGAAATAAAGTTTAAAAAGCGTACAAGTACATGCCCACCCACCAAAAAATAAAATGAAAAAAGCACACAAAGAGTAAAGGCGATTCAGAATATGGCAATACTTTTAACGCAATTTAAAAAAACAGCAAAATTTAGATAGATAATTAAATGTAATAAACTTCTAACAACTTCTTTCGTCTTTGATTGATGATAATTTAACGATCCACATGTTCGTATCCAATTATGGTTTATTGAGAGACTACCAGAATTAGCCCCAGAACTTATATATATATATTTATAAATAAATGAAGCTGATTTTGAATGCTGCAAATTCTGGGTCTGTCTGTGTATAGCACAAATCTAAATAAGTGAAAAGATATAGACTAGGACACGTAGTTTGCTTTTAGAAACACAAAAATTCACGAACAATTAACAAATGTACAAAACAAATAAAAAAATGTGTGGATGAAAGGCAGCATGCAGTTTTGAATATAGGGAACATTAAAGTGTAACATTGCAAATTATTACAAAAATCCCCAATTGGTTCCATGGATGCATTGTTGTGATAACTTTGTAAATTACTATGGTACCACACATTATGGTATAACACATTATCCCAGTAATATATAAATGTAATTATAAAATAGCAACAACCTAGGACAGAAAACATTATACATCCGTACACACTGACACAGTCTGAATAAATTATGTTGGCCGATATGTTACATATGAGAATTCATAACCCTGTCTTAAAAATGTGCACTCCATCGACTGTCCTGTTGTCAGAAGTGTACTAATGAATAATTCAAATTATAACGTTTATACTGTTTTTAGTGTGGTAGTGAGGGCATTAGTATTTTGCAATGATACTTTATTTAGCGGTAATTTTGTTATCTATTCACTGTTCTTCCTAACAGTTTGAAAATCTACTCTATGGCTACTTCGGAAACAGCATCACTTTTTTCCTTTGAGGTTGCTGTAAAAACAGTTTTTCTCAAACGTGCTGTTGTTTGTCGAGTTCCTTCAATTTCTGTTCGATTGCTGGATTATCCGCCGCTTGACTTGAATTTAATCACAGATGATGAATTGCAAAAGGTGAAAGACTATGTTGAGAACAATCCTGATTCAACAATAAAAACACCACAAATCTTGGAGTTACAATATAGTACAGGAACTTATTCTTTTACAAATGGGAAATCATGTTTAATAAAAATGAAGATAACTGAACTGGGAGAAAGTCTATGCAGTATCCCTGTGTATGTTATGCTGATGGATGTTTTACCGAAAACACCCAGACTTGTTGCTTCTTTTGCCCTTAGCCTTGAAAACGCAATTAGAAAGATTGTGCGGAATGTTTCAGAAACTGGCATCGAAGTACCTTCTGCCGATGGAGAGAGAGATGTATTTCCGTTGTATAATCTCATGGGAAATAAAGTTGGTGAAATGGAAATGGGTGTGAGATTGACAAGTCTTGGAGTAATGATGTTACAACATGTGTCGGGAATTTCTGAGCCTATAAAACTTGAAAATTCACCTATTATATCTAAAAAAAGCCTTTCAACTTCTAAGAAAATTAATGACAGAGCTTCTTCACCAATTTTTGATATACATGCACCTGAAAAAAGTCAGGTTACAAAATCAATTAAATTTGACGATGACGGTAACAAAGAAAATGTAAAATCATACAAAGTTAATAATTCTAAAGAGAAATTGCTTTCATCTGAAGCAACACAAACAAGTAAACGTAACATGCCATTGAAGTATGTCCAAATTCCTATTCAGCCAACTCGGGAGGCACTGGGTTCTACTGAAAATATTTTTTGTCCTCCTGCTCTTTATTATGATAGGAATTCTGATGATATAGAAAGAAGCTATTATAAGAAACAGAAGCAAGCAATATTGCATAAAGTACAATACAGACCTGAAACTTCTCTGACAATGTCTGACCTTGACAATAATGAGAGAAACAAAATTATCATTCCCTCATCTGTTGTTTATAAATCTCCAAGTCGTAATGGATTTGTATCAAGTCACGCTACACAAACAGAGAAAGGTGTATCGGCAGGGATATCATCATCTCTCAATGACTTTCCAATATTAAGAGCATTGGTTGAGGAAGTTGTTAGGTTGGGTCTGAATGAATCTAAACCTCCTGAAACACCAGTTCCAAATGTACAAGATATGAAGAAAACCACTTTACCTGTACAAACTAAGAAATCCGTAAAACCATTTTTAGCTGGATCGAAAACAATAAAGAGACAGCCTGATCGTAAACAACCACTCAAGTTTGGACTCACAAACTCTATGCGTCTCAGAATGGCTATGAATAAGACTACCATAAGGGAAAGAGATCAATATGTTTTCACTCCTGAACGAAAGCCCTTACGCTCAAGTATGAAATCTGTGAAACAATCAAACTTGGGTCAGACATACACAATTAAACAGCAATTTGCAGCTGGAAGCAAACATGTTAAAATGATCACGACTGCGAGTGGTCCTGATAGCAGCATGTATCGCAGAATGCCAGCACCAAATGTTCAGCAACAAACTGTCTATCTTGGACGAATGGCAGGTAAGATGTTTTTTAGATTTGTTTCAAATATTTCTCAGATAGTGTAGATTATTATAGGTAGTTTCTTGGCATCACACGCCCGATTGTCTCCAACCCAACAAATATGTAAATTAACGAACGAATATATACTCTTCTAAAGTAATCTGTCACACTATCTGCTATCCTGTTTTAAGTGAGTTTTTCTTTTTTAAGTTTCAAGTTCTTTTTTACATTATTACAAAGGTTATGAAGAGGCAACTGATATGGATGTTCCCTCGATGGGTCATCTGACGTCAGAATCTCGATATGAACAATCACTGGACAAAGATGAAAAAGAGGTGGATGTCGGAATAGAAGATCTCATGATTGTAAAAGATCTAGGTACTCCGAGAGCGCACAGTCGACAAAGCCAGAGAAGTATTGAGATTCACCTCCCAACTGCATCAACAGAATTTACTCTGGGTAAAGATGATGATGATGCTGATTGGGAATCCACCTCTAGTGATAAAGAAAAACTTTTCAAGAAAAACAAAATAGAAGAAGAGGAAGAAGAAGCAGGATTTCACACTCCTCCTGAATATCCTAACGAACAATTGAAAGATGAAAGATACATGAAATTGGCAATGGAAACCGATGAAAAACAGGCAGCATCTGACGTTTCTGTATCAGAAAGATACAGATATTCAGATGATTTTGAAGATGATAAAACCTGGTCTGCAAATCGTACTCCCTCTGCACTCACACCTATCAACTCAACAATGATTATCAAAGAGGAAGATGAGGAGGAAGAAGAAGAGAGTACGGAAGAGAAGCGAAAACCAATTGCACCATTTCCATCAAAATCCTTTGATTCAACAATCACAACTACTAGAACTTCTGATTTTACTGACAGTTATGGAGAGGAAATCATAAAGCAAGTAGGAGAGTTGAGGAGTGCAAGTGCACAAAGGCTAACCACATCATCTGATGATGCAATCGATACATCGTCGGTTTCAAAGGGGTCGATAGTTACAGCTCTCATGAAGAAAAAATCTGATCCTAGAGATGTGAAAGTAGGCAACATTACGGTACCCGGACCTATTCCTTCTGATTCTCCAATTATCCAGTCAATCAATACAGAATCTGGTAGCACAGAGCAGTTTCCATTGCCTGAAAAGCACAGCCTCACTTCAAAATCGACCAAACATTCAAAGAAAAAGTCACTAAAAAAAGAAGTACATCTTCCAAAGACAATCAAAGAACCTCCATCATCAAAGCGAGGAATAAATCAACCTCCTCCTCCAAAACCTTCAAGGATGACTCCATCTCCTCCTTCTACAAGGAGGTTCTCTCCAATTTCATCTCCAGAATCATCAAGAGAAAGGATTAGAAGGATCTACCATCATCCAGGAAGAAAAACAAGACCGACTAGTTCGGGTTCTGGATCTTCAGATTTTGAGAAGCCAGTAAGCCCAATAAGACGTTCTGATTCAGTTAGCTCTTACCAACCATCTGACATTAGTGATATAAGTAATGTTAGGATGTCTGAAGATCTGGAAAACCTTAGTGATATATTAAGCGAGGAGACGGACTCGCAAAGTGGTGCAAGATATATTCAAAAACCTAAAATTGATATGCCTTCAGATGGGCCCAAAACTTACTATGGAAAACCAAAACTGGATCCTAACACAAAACTTGGCTACACAACATAGAAGATAGGTTGGAGAGATTAAAAGGTACTCCTAAAGTGTGCGCACCAAGATGTCGCATAACCTGAACCCTAACCTGGTACACAACCCGAGTTCAGGTTGTGCACCATCTTGGTGCGCATACTCCAGGAGGTCCGATTAAAATATTACCGGTATACATTGGGGGAATTTAAAAGTCTCTCTTTATAAAAACGATGGTTCAATTGAATCTGTGGCGCTTCAAAGGAAAACCTTTTACAATTTCATTGATTTAACCAGTTTGAATATTGAATGGAGTTTCAAAATATGCTGTCTGCTGTGACATTTATAAAAATTTAATCATAGAAACATTATGCCTATTATTCGTTTACAATACAACAAGTCCTAAATAGATTTGATAAACCTAGATTTAATTTTTTTATTCAAAAAAAAACTTATATTATAGTTGCATTTATGCGTTTTTTCAGCTTACATTTAGAAATTTGTATTTTCTTATTGCGACAACCTGATTTGTTAGTATTGGCGCAGGATCATATATGGCTCGGAAAAGCTTGTAATAAATATGAACTTTGTTTCACTGAGAATAATACTTGTTGGTACATACTGCTCAGGTCGTAATATGGTGTGAGAAATTGAGTGATAAGATCTAAGGATACCAACGTGGTCGCCCACGGCCTTGTGCACTAAAACAAAACATTAAAAGGTCTCAACAAAAAATTAATGCGCATGCGCCATGTAGTGAAAAACATAAAACGAACAAAAGCATATTATGACGAAGTTTAACGAGATGGTTGCACTTGTTTCGTTGTAAAGCAGCATTTGGAAGCGGACTTGCATAACTTTATAAACTCTCTCCCCGGAAAGTGAAGATTCAGTGTCTCCAGCAGTGATTGCAAAGCAGCAAAAGGCGGCAAATGTGTATTTGCAAATTATAGCACTTCATTTTTTGTATTATCAAGCTATGAGCCATATAACAGATTTCTCTCATGGACCCTTCGTAAGAGCTTCACGGTCACCACTTTGGAAACCACTGTCTTATAGTATAACGAAAACATCTCTCTAAAATATTTTATGATATACTTTTGCGCCTTGCTCCATATTGTTCCAATTGGATCTCAAAAACACAGAAAATATAATGATGAATGGAAAATATCGGTAATAATTTAAAAGCAATGTCATGTTACATTTATCGTGCATTACCGCGATGTATGAAGCGGCCAATAACGATAGAATAGGCACACTTTGATTGGGAATGAATACAAATGATGGAAAAATAGTACAGAATTGGAAAAAGTTTTGGCATAGCTCGTCAAATCACAGGGTAGGGAATACACACATCGCGGTAATATTGACATGGTGTGGTGATGACCGTGATTGTCTACATTCAAAATTCGCTTTGTGTTAGCTATAGCAAGATACCCAAATACTGAAACTCTTGTTAGCATCCATTTTGTTACAATTAGAACGAGCTGCATACAACGGAGGCATCTTCCGCATGACCGCAGTTATGATATCCCCAAGGCGAATGGTGACAATTCGCAATATTTGTTTCAGTGCCCGAGCATCGAACATCGTCCAGCCATATAGGACCACTACCACGCCCGAAACGAGCTTTTTTAAGAGCAGCTTTTGCGTGATGAAATCCCAGCATGCGGCAAATCACTTGTGCGTCTTGAATTCCCCATTCATCGTCACAAATTGTTCCCCAATCACCATCTAATAATATTTCCACCCTGCCTCGGTGTTTCGATCCATTAGACCCTGCGAGACGAACTGACACAGTGCTATCTGTAAAACAATGGATAAGATAGGTAAGCACGCACTCACATAAATAAACAAGGGTATAAATGTTATAGGCAATAAATTTAAATAAAATCTACGAGTTAACCTCAATAAAAACAAACTGCCTATAGCGCATGCCATACAAAGCATCTTTCTGAACAGAGCAGGTGCATAAATGCATTTTATTCAGACGTGTTATCTCACAAGTGAGTGCAAGTCCAACTCACGTCAGCCATTAAACTGTGTTTATGTTTTGATTGGTCAATGAGACAATAAAGTTTTTGATTCGATGTACTTTTCCCCGATTTATGCCACGCAAACGAAAAATTACCTTTTTCTATGCTAACACCGTATCATTCCAACTTGGCGCTTCTAGTCACTGCATGTCCCACAAAGTGACACAGAATATATTGAGAAATAGCAATAACGATGTTTTATGCTTTAAAGTTGTTTGACCTGAAGGACTTTGATATGGAATTATCTCTGTTCTGTTCATAATTTCAGTTTCCACGATTTCATTTGAACATTCGCTAGGATCTCCTCCACTTGACGGATCGACCAATCGATAAACGCTTCCACCACGAAATCCAGGGAGAGCTCTCGGCGTTGATAACATGTATAGTTCTCCTATAATTAAATAAACAGATGATACTGCTAATATCGACTCTTCGACACGACACAGTCGACACTGATAGTTTTAAATGACCAATTGAAATATTACCGATGTCAAAATGAGAACACAGTTTCCAGATTTTTGAATTGGTTCAAATTCATACAAAGTCGCTAGATTTAATACTGCTGAAAGCTGCGCGTGCAAATGTATGGCTGCAATTGTCCATGGGTGCAAATGTTCGTTGGTGCAAATGTCATGGGTACAATTAACGGGTGCAAATGAACGTGGGCGCCAGGGTAATGCAACCGAAAATAGCAGTGATTAGAGATGGTCATTTACTGCCAATTCATATCTAATTACTGCTATTTTCGGTTCCATTACCCTGGCGCCCACGTTCATTTGCACCCGTAAATTGTATCCATGACATTTGCACCTGTATACTTTTGCACCAACGGACATTTGCACCCACGGACTTTTTGCACCCATGCACATTTCATTTGCACCACGAATATTTGCACCCATGTACATTTGCATCCATGTACATTCGCACCCAGTACATTCCCACCCGCGGGCGATGGCACCCACGTACATTTGCACTCGCGAACACTTTCAACAGCGTATACGTTTACACCTACGTGCATTTGCACCCGCGTACATGCATCAGCGTACATTAGCACCAACAGACATTTATACCCGCGTAGGTACATTTGCACCCACGGATATTTGCACCCTGAATTTTTTTTCATCCATGAACATTTATAACCATGGACACCAACCTGTCTTTAAAATAGGGAGAGGTTTATTTGCCATTCGCACCGAAATAGGGTCATCCCAATGTTAATGAATAGCAAGGACGACAAACTCACTGCAAATCCACACGCAATTAATTTAGATTTCCATCCATTATCTCAGGTGAAAAACAACCCGGGTCATTAACATAATAACGCAACAATATCAAGGTCAAGTGTCGCAAACAACTTGCTCCGCATAAATCCGGCTTTCGCTATATCGAGGTCGTTTCATCGTCTATTATTAACCAAACACAACCGTAAATTCGACTGCGTTGGGGTTATTCAATTGAAATAAAATGACCGACAAAAGTAGGATGGGATTATAACTCGCAATAACTGTGAAAACGTGGCAACCCTAACCAAGAATAATAGGCTATACTTAAAATTTGTAATCTGTCTTCATTTCCGATATATAGTTATACTTAGTAATTAATGATTACCTGAAACACAGTTATTCGCAAGCGAACACGCCTATATAATTGCAAATGTATGCAGGTGCAAATATCCACAGGTAAAGATGTTCATGAGGCGAATGCATGCGCGTGAAAATGCCATGGGTGCAAATGTGCATCGACAAAAAGAGTGCGTGAGTGCAAATGTACGTGAGTTCAAATATCCAATAGTGGAAATGTACGGGTGCAAATGTGTATGGGTGCAAGTATCCGCCGGTGCAAATTTCTTTGGGTGCACATGTCCTTGGTGCGGTTTAAGGATGCAAATGCGCAGTAACTTCATTTTCTCTTACCATTTTCATCCTCACCAAATGATAGAATATGTTTGCCGTAATTATTCTGCAATCCACCAGATTTACATGCTTCGTTGCTTGCCATGCAAATACTCTCTCGTTTCCACGATCCATTACTGTTTTCGGTTAGGGCGAATAATTTTCTTGAAAAAAAAAAAAAAACAGTGCTGCATTCACTTCGGATCCGAACAGTACGTAATGAATAAAGCAATAAACTCGCATTCAATTACAGAAAATAATATCTGCATTCACAATTTAGAACAATTTGACGAGAAACAATAAGATAAATAAATATTTATGCTTGATAGTAATAAATTACCCATTATGGAAATCCCCAAAGATGTATTTGCCTCTCAAATTGGGATTTTGGCAGCCTCTGTACACATAACCTCCTGTCACTGATTTTCCCACGGAATGGCTGTACGCATGTATAGGACGAATATAGTTTTCTGTAATGTAAACGAAACCTCATTATCTGTTTGCGCAAAAATAACTCCGTTATATTTTGCTGGCTAAGATTTTTGTCTATGACTGGATGGCGAACCACTGACCCGCGGGTCACAAAGTGACCCACCGTGTTTTATTCGTGACCCGCCAAGGCGCGAATAAAATAATTAAACAATGCTAATATATCAGTCAGGGCCGCGAGGGCTCATATCCAAATTGTTAATTTCGGGCCGGTATGGTAATTTTCAAAACCCCTAATCTTGGACGCGTGTCTGCACTGCTGTGAACCATTATTAAGCTATTGGCTATGACATCGTTTATTACATAACAATGCAACTGATATGTTAATTTGTCGCTACGTCTGGTCTCTATCGGAAGTTCATCTGCAGACTGTTTTAGGGGTTATGCGAGAACTAGAAGCTACTTTGTATTTTATTAGTTTCTCGTCCACAATACCGTTAAGAGAACAAAATCTTTCAGACTTGAAATAAAAACCTAGAAATCTGAAATAACAATGGGGCAGTGTAAAAGTGCCTTAATGAGGTTGAAAGTTGATCGAAAAATAGAACACTGTCAGGGTGGGATTCCATCCAAACTCTTTGGAACCGTAAAATAATTTACCGCATCATACTAAACGTTTATGGTAATTCATATGCGTGTTTTCGTACTCTAATTTCATAAAATCGAGAAACATAAAAAGTCCCTGATAGAAGTGCTGCATAAGTAAAGCCTGAAACTACACCAACAGAAGCCTAAAAGATTTGCTTCAGAAGTTTCTTATAGATACAAACATTGATCATATATCTGTGACCCACTCTCTTATGTTCCGCAATAAAAATATAATTTTTGACCCATTCATTGAAAAAGGTTCGCCATCCCTGGATGTCTTCGGTAATCTGTAGCCTTTTTCATAGAACTTACGATTCATAGTAAGAGTAGTGGTCAAATAATCTTAGCAGGTAATTTAACAGTCCAATCGGCGATGTGGCGCATTGTGTTAAGCGTCAGGAACACGCTCGCTTCCGCACAACCTATTACCCTGCGTGTGTTCACAGATTCGGAACTCATGCAGGGATAATTATGTGCGAGAGGATTACTGGACTTCTCACTGCCGTAGTTCACGTAACCGCTGGTCGAGTACGGCTTCCCCCACCATAAAGTATTCCTCTGAAAACAAATAACTTGGCTTAACTCCCATACCCGACATTGACTGGTGACCAGACGAGAGGCCATGGTTCGCCATATAATTGAGCCGTGATATCAGCCTTCTCTGCCCCGTAAATGTAAATTTTATCCTATCAAACAGGTTTGTGTGTATTCAACGCTCACTCACGTTTCATTTAGTCTGGAAGATTATAAGTAAAATAGAAGGCAAAGTATAGACAAAGGAGAAAAATGATTGAGTGGCAATATACTCAGCAAGAACTAAAATTAGTTTGTCGTATTTGCATATTTATGAATGTGAAACTTACTAATAATGTTGGAATTGCACATCTTTTTATCGTAGCACGAATATCCCTCATACCCTCGCCATCCATAGTTTCCACCTTTTTCAATAATGTCAACCTCTTCGTAAGCGCTCTGCCCAACGTCACCACAAAATACTCTACCTCGATTTGATCCTGTGGGAAATAGGGAAGTAACGTTTTAGGTATGCGTCTAAGCTGAGGCGTACGAAAATACAACATTACGATGGAACCGAGGAAGTGCTCGACAACAAATTTTGGTTCCCCGCGACTTCTCTTCCCCAGTAAAAATGTGTGTTTAATTTTGTTTACTTATTTACGAACGATATATTTTTACTGCATGGACAAAATAAACATGACTGTGACCAACAAGTATGTATCTTCTGACGTCAATAGAGAGCTGATTACCTATTATTGGGAATTCCACGTAACTAAAATTCTCGGGAAAAAATGTTTTCATTTAAACTTTTTAATGTGAATCTTAAGTAAGAAGTATACTTGACAATATTTATTTTGTACTATATATTCCAGTATGTAGTACGTTTCCTAACAACCATCTCAATTAACATCGCAGAAAAACGTGATAAAGTTGCAGCTGGTTCAGCAGGTGATACTTAAAAACGAATTTTAAAATAATTTACATCTTGAATGATCATCTTTACCTGATTTAGACCAAGTTCATGATATCGTTTGTTTTGAAAACATTGCGTTTACGTATTTCTCGCCATACGTTGAAAAAACTAGCTCTAATAATACTAACAGCTACACTATTTTAAATAGTTGTCAATGAAAAGATATGACAGCAAAATGCCTCTGGCATTTGATTTTTTACGATTTCTCTTTGTTTATGAAGTAATACAAGTGGGGTTTGTTCGAGACAATAAATTGGAATTACCGATCAAGACTCGATGAATATGGCGTTATAGTCCTTGAGATGGAACTATACATGATGTTTTGCGTTCTGTCGATTACAAATCTGAGTGTTTCTTTCTCACATTTGCTAGAACCTCAACCGCTTATATCAATTCTGGGGAGTTTTGACATTGGACAGATTATTTATAAGATAAAATAGCTTCAAATATGTAGACGTTAAAAATCCTAAATAGTAAGTTTGAAGATTTCTCGTTATTTCATTCAGCATTATTCTCTTACTTCAGATAGACAATTTTATTTTAAACTCGGTTATTACCATATATTACGTGTCTATTATTAATTACCATATATCCGATACCAATACCGATAAATGTACTTTTTGGTAAATTGCGGTGACCAGGTGTATATGTAACGTTCACATCAATCAACATATTTGTTAAAACACCAGTTTCTGGCAATAAATTCTAATATTTTTACCGCAAGTTCATAATCAACTTCTAGAGCCATTCACTCAAAGTTCATCTCTTTATATTGAAATGCATCGACAATAACATTATTGATTATGTGACTATCAGCTAAAGTGCTTCTCATATATGACAGCAAGTTGATGAAAAGCAACCCTCCGGTTTGTAAAAGTCATGCGTGCAAGTTAGCAGACCGAATCTTCATTTTTGATCGGCCAGCGTTTCTGAGTTCAATTTGGATGATGGCCAAACATAGCTCCATTAGATAAAATCGGAATTAAAAACATATCGTCACTGATATAATGAATAAAAAATAGTAAGTCACAAAATCAGCATTGTCAATTTAGTATGAGACCGTTAAATGAATATCTCAATACCTGTAGCGTTTCCTCGGTCCATTGAACACCTCCACATGTTTCTCACACCCAAAGCGTAAATCTCCGGAAGATAGGCAGAGTCTTCTACAAAGGGATTATCTGATGGGATAGCATAAGGATGACCATTCACACCTCTGGCGTTTACGTTAATGCGAAGAACTTTTCCGAGAAAGGTCTTTCTGTGTTTGAGTAAATCAAAATATTGATATTCAAAATAAAAGACAATTTGAAACTCAAAATATATAGAAAAACCTATAATATTTGGTCTAACTAATAAACGAAAACCATTAGCTTCGTTTTCGCTCGTGATTCCATTTTCGTCATACTCACTTATTTTGTCCATTTCCATATTTACCGAAGGGATCTCCACCATTTCCTCCATCCCCAGTGAATATGTACAAGTTTTCGTCAACTCCGTCGAGAAATAGTAGTTGTCCACCGTTGTGATTTTTAGCAGGTTGCCGAATTTCTAAGAGTGTGCGTTCAGCAGTGGCGTTGGCTTTGTTCATGTCATTATCTGAAACCTGTGAATTTGAAAAAAAAAACGTTGCTCATTTATCATAGCATTGATATAGTCTGGTATGTCATATGTTTGTTATTACTTATTGATTTTAATCGGTAAGTATGTTGATAGATATTTGTCTGTCTGTATGTCTGTTAGATGCACGCGATATCTCACGGAAGCGAGATTGAATCTGCTCCAGATTTTGCATGTGCATTCATCTTATCTCGGACCAGAAGTCTATTGATTTTGGGCGAATTATGTCGTATATTTAGCGAGGTATTAATTAATTAGTGATGGGACACAAGGTGTCCCTATGGAGTAAGAGTGCTGTTTTGGGATCCCTAACTTTCGATCGATAAGTCTTCGGTCTCTGACCGATATTCTCGTATTCTTTTTTCATCAATCTCACAAATTTAGTGAATGTCTCCCTTTAAAGAAGAGACTGTATGGGAGAAGCCAGGGTTTATGGATATTTCATATTCAACATGGCTAACATATCGCAACCTATTTCAGGTAGTAGGCAATTCCCATGTTCAACATAACAAGATTGGCAATTATGTTTTCAATGGGTGTGGCAAATAATGATGAACTGGTCAATAATGATTAAAATGTCACCTTCATTTCACTGATCTTTACGTAATCTTTTCCTTTGATTGAAAATGAGTAATAAAGATAGAAAAGCCCGTTTTCTCTGTAGTTCGGATGAAATTCTATATCAAGCATCCCTCGTTCGTCGTAACGTCTGAAAATTGAGTTATGGAAGTAAAATTTGTCCAAATTTTATAAATTTCTGAATCATTCAACAAATAAACAAAGATGGCTCATAGAAAAGTTCAAATGTCACAAGTCGGCGAGTTTTGAAGTCATCGTCATTTTAAGGTCAGTTCTAATTGATCGAGTTGCGTCATGCTAAAATAGAGACCCATCCCATAGCCTTCGAAAAAAGATATTTCCAAACGAAGTCGTAGTTCTTGCCATCAGTCTGGCTAGCTGGTGAACCTCGTAAAATATCTCTTCTACGCTCTTCGAAATATTTGCCACATGCGGATTATTATACGCACGCTGTCGTCCTGTACGTGGTTTGCGACAGGACATTTCTATTTATTAGTGATTTCTTTGTCTGGCATCAATATTGCGAGATTCTTTTGATGCTTTTAATATTAATATATGTAAAAGGGTATACGTAAATACTAGAAAATGCGTAATGCTTCCACGTGGATGAGGTTGATACATTTCACTATGATTTTTAGATCTAATACTCACTGTTTATTTGCAACGACGACGTCGCGCAGATCAAGAAATGGTGGATCAAGTCGAGAATTATCCGGAAGAATAACCCACACTAATCCCAGTTGTTCGACGATGAATAACCTTGAAAATACAATGACTTTAAAAAAACACAAATCAACAATACACTTGGTCTACTGCACTTGTTCCATGCAAAATTATTCTATATATATACACGCCGTTAAAATTTAGTATTGACAGTATCAGAAACGCGTTTTTTTTACTGTTATTCGACTTGTTAGTGCTATCAAGAAAAACAAAAAATATCAGTAATACGAACTAGAATTTATAGCGACATTAAAATAACTGGGGCTTGCCACCATTATAGTTTGCATATTAAGCGAATATTTGAAACAGATCATATTGGAATTTTATTACCGATGTGTTCCGTCTCTGGAATGTTTTGCAGAAACAGGATTTGATCGTCTGTTCGCTATTTCTTGCAGACAGATTGGAATGCATTTGCCTATAAAATAAGGAGTAGAAGATGTAACGGTTTCCAGCTAATGCAAATATTACATATTAATAAAATTCCCAACGCTAACTCCGACGATGTGCCAAGAAAATAAAGAAAATAGACAAATGTTTGCATATAAAAATGATATGATAGAAATTGGAAAACGTAAAAGTAACAATAATCTATATGGCTATTTCAGGTATCAATCCTTACTTTTAGCCCTTTGGGCAAATAATTTTGGGGAGAGGGGTTTCCGATTCGAGTCATTCAGTTTAGTGAGCCGTTTACAGCCATAGTTGAAAATTTTAGATTCCATGAATATTTTGCATAAACGTAATAAGAAAGAAGTACATTTTGGCCACATCTAAGGTTACTTCTGTCTCGTGTTAATATTAGTAAATAAAATCTAACAGTTTTTATGAAATCTACCTGTGTGCAAATAATTATCCCGAGAGATACACTAACGTCTGAAAAATGTCACCCTAAACAATTTTGTTGAATGGAATCTAATATTTGAAAAGCAACAATGTAACAAAATCTATTTAATAGAAAAAATACCCAGATAGCCTTATCAGAAGTCATTGATAGATTGTCCCCGCAAGGTTGCGGTGTTTCTGGGAAACTAGGTTTTTTTTGCTGGGAAGAGAAATGTTTTATTGCTATAAATACTATACAGCTATATTTTTACTCACTTTTTGCTTGATAGAATTCAACTTTCCCTAAATTTTCACTCAATTCCGGATTAACGACTAAATCCGGATAACAGTAATCCGGATCCCGTGTTGTTACTGAGTCACAGAACAATTTATATTTCCTCGTCTCAATAAGATTCAGCAATACGGAATTATCGGTGAAGAATTTCACTATGTCGGGACAACTGTTCAACATCCTGATGCAATAACTCGGACAAAGTCCTGGAAATGTTCTTGCTAATGCGTTATCTTCTGCATCGAATATGTGGGCTGCATATGGCGAACATTTCTGCAAAAATTTAAATAAAGAAAAATTGAAACTATTCTGCAAAATCACGCCACATTGTAACAGAGTAATTACATTACAGGCATATTTCGAACAGCTTCGCGGTGCGTAATTTCGTTCATATGTTGAAATATCGGATACGAGCCATAGCAATCTTTTCAACGAAAGTCTCTTTATTTTGGGAGCCACACAAAAAAGATAGTTCTCTATTCAGGATGCACTAAATAGGCAATACGGTTTAAAATATGCCCCAATTTACACTAAAATTTCCACGTTTCAATTTTTTAAATAGATCGGAGAATTTTAGACCCATTTCTAAATATGCAATAAAAATACTTCTCCCATTTTAATATTTGAAAACAGTATCAATTTGATATACGTCAATCGTTTTCACAAATTACAAGGACACCGCAAATAACAGCGCGAAGGTACTTTACGTTTCAAGTATACAACATTGTAAGTAGTCTATTTAAACATAACTTTCATGCCATGTCCAAGAAGACCACCGCGGAAGGAGAACTGATCGAATCACCTTTTTATTTTAGACAAACTTTGATCAGCCGTTCACAACCAGTGTTTTATGTCACTGGTGCTTATTTTTCAATGTTTTATCCGCCCACACGGGCTGTTGGGGTTGAAACTCACAAGAATGAACTTGGAGTATCACCACTATTAATGAACGGTTATAAAATATATCAGTGTTATAGTTTGCTAGCAATATATAGAGCAGCAGTGATATGTAATTGGGCTTATGCAAATACACCTGACACAATAAGTCCCTCGTCCATCCACTGCATGTGTCTTGCCGATCCGAGGGCAGATTACTAATATACTCGTAATATTTATCAATGATTCGATTATCTTCTTTTCGATTGCAACACCCGAATTCTTGATATTCACTGCACATCTCCAATGCCTTCGATGATCTGGAATAATATGGAAAGATGTAACCTAAAAAGCCAAGCCGTTGATATAGGAGCTTTTAAAACGATAATGCAGTTTCAAGCAAGTATCTAAGCTTTTACTAACAATATCCTAACAATTTTCAAAGATAGCATCTATATATTTTTCTTGAACTTTTATCTCATACTTATTGAAAATGTTGATATTGTTTATATGACTGGGGCATTGAAAACTTTTACTTTCGTTCAGCTGTTTTCTAATTAATTGTAATGTTTGATATCATTTTGTTCAATAGTCCAAAGTTCGTTGCAATTCCCATGATTATCAATCTTACAAGACGATAAATTTGGAAAGTTTTAACCAAACTTGTGGAGGCTTAAAATATTCTGCCTATAGTTTCGAATACAGCCACACTGTGGTTAACCGATCACATGAGTAATGAATGAATGCACTAAAATTTGAAACATTGTCGGGGTCACAGAGGATTTGTTGATTTCCTGAGTATCCATAAGGAGAAAGGCATTTTTTTGTGTAGTAAATATGTAACTGAAATATTACATAACTCATATTTAATGATAATCCTGTGAAATCACCAAATAAATGTTTTCATCAATTCATCTGGAGTAACAGTGATCGAAACAACGTAAATCATGTCATAATAGGATTACGGATAATACTGAACATAGCATACAGGTTTGACATGGACTTTACTAAGATGCGAAATGAAATTGTAAATTTCGCCGAACATCACTTATAAACTACAGAAAATCACAATTCTTGCGTCATAATTCGGCAATATATATAAATCAGAAAGGAGGAATTTTCCCACCTTCAATTATTCAATGGATTAGATAGAATCAACCGTCGGTTAAACAATGGCGAATTTTTGCTTCATTGATTATTGTAAAAATATCGATCCTACATTAAAATAATCGAAACTCGCCTAAATTACATATTCATTGAAGCTTCAACTTCAATACTGAAGGAAAAGATATTACCTGATTGTAAAAATGAGAAATATACTATCATTCAACATATCACGATCAAATGAATAAGTGCATGATACAAAACGTGGTGATACATCGGGTTATAGTTATAAACTGATACCTGATACGATCATATCATATATAGTGAAATCGGGGAAAATTATCGGAGTAAACGTTTCCAGACTTGTGTAGTCTGATATTGCGTTATACATGTACAATAGTGTAATGCTGTACTGCTATAGCAGTGAATTCCAGTTTGAAATATGTTTCCACTAAAGCCTGAGTGAACACAAGGTGGTATTTTTTATACCAGGTCTACTATATTTGAATACATACTCGAATGTTAATTATGTTCTTAAAAAATACTTCTACTTTAATTTAAATATAATTATTTACTCACTTGAATGGGAACGTAAAATCCAAGCATTGTGGATGACTCAATACGGATTGTTGAAAAGCCATTACGCAGAAGTAAATCAATAACGGTATTGCCATTTTTTTCGGTACAGCGTTCTTGTTCAAAATTTGCCACTCCTAATCCTGAAAATATCTGTCAACATTGAAGTTCCAACATGTCTGAGGCAAATCTTCCACTATATTTCTACAGAACGTTGTTATGCATCGGTTCCAATTTTACCATTTAACGCTTCAGTTACAACAGTCTGCAGCGATTGCCCACTTCGATCGATACTAGTCATTTTCTCCCTCAGGGTATTGTTATTTTCGTGTAGCCTCAGTGCTCCTCTGCTGTAATCCAGTACTTATCATTGACATATATTCTTGCGCAGACCACAGACGGATAATCACGAAGAAATCGGCCACGTTTTATTGTAAAGAGTAGTTACGGTATTTACTTTACTATGCAATATAATTCGTACTATCAAAGGACCATTTTCCAAAATATTTGATTTGAATACAAGTCGTACATCGCGATAGCTGTCATGATCTACATTTTATGTATACTTAAGATATTATGGATTTTTTGTAGAAAGCCGCCCAAAAAACACCTCCGCCGTCGATCAAAAAAAGTGTTTGTTGATTATCCAGTTGGAATCGTATTCATTGATGAAATTCAGTACAGCATTGAATGCAGCGTTCTAACCCTAATCCTAACTCTAAAAATTCATGTAAGACGTGGCGAGAGTGTTTTTCTCAAATCTCGAATTTTTGCATTAGTGGCGGGGGCTTTCTACAAGATATCTGATTTCAATATAATTGAATGTATAATTTCGTAGAATACATGTTTAGGGTTAGCCAAATAATCCGTTAAAACACTTAATTCTTTCATTACATTTGAAAAAGCATGATATGAATAAAATTGTGAAGACATCTGCTGCGCCAGAACAGGCCTGTCACAAACCTAAATGTTTGGTTGAAAGTTACTTTAACTTTTATGTTACTGAGAATTCATAATAATACTGATTGAATTTAAGTTTGTACAGTCCAACGTCAAGTATTCGAATTTCATCAATTAATGTTATTACAAAGTGTTGTTTTGTTTTGCATGACATGGTGTGTTGTGTTAGGTTGATGGCCATATTCATTCTTAACTAAACAAAATTCCAAGATGATGTGATTTATTTCTATTACCAACGTGTTCTCATATTATTCGAGGTAGGCTTTGATTTCCATACATGTAGACCAATCGTATAAATGATGATATTCAGAAAATGTTAGCCATATCGAACATAGAAATAGTAGGAATTAGCGTCACTTCTTTAAATCAAATTCTAGAATTTTTGTCATGTTAGCCTAACCCTGCTAGACCTCCCGGAGCGTCCTCACCTTGCAATCCAGCTACGGTGACAACGATTTCGAAATCATTGACATTCTGGTATTTTTATCTATCGAAAGGCGACTATTTTTTGTGATAGATTTTGTCATGTTGCCACTTGTTATAGTGAATTTTGAATGTAAGCTTGTGTACTTCATATTAAGTTTTTTTTAAAGCCTTCAAGCTTCATTGATTTACAGCCAAACCCAGGTTAAAACTTCAATTTATAACGTGCGATGTCAAAACTGTCAAATTATCCATTCATCCCGGTATTCACTAAAATACCTTACCTTTATTCAAAGTTATAAAAGCATGAAAACAATTTCTTAGGCTCTATTTTGACGTTTCATGCTATTGTTGTGGTGTTTGCATCGTACAAGCCCTTTCAACGCTGCTAACCAATCGTTATACAAAAATAAACTACTAAATGACATATTATATCAAAATTTCCACATAGAGGCGCGAAATGAGTTTTCGTCTATTTTACTGAATTTATATTACAAAATGCACCTTGTTGTGGATTGTTAGTCACGTCGAGTTTCATGTAAATTGTAAATCAAAAACTTTCACGCCCAAACAAAAAAATTTAACTTTTATTCAAAGTTTTGACATAAATAGATGTTGGGGAATGAAGTAATTGCTTATGTTTTTTTTGTCCATCGAGTGCATCATTTCATTTATTATATTGGATGAAATGACACACACTCGGACCATACCAGTGCGGGGAGAGCTTTGTGGACGAAGTATAATATACTTAACATATTATGTAGGTTCATATTGATATTACTTACGAAGTTTGTGCGGCGGGTTTTAGACTAGGGCTACCAACCGGAATGATCGAAACTGTCCCGGAATTGACGTCTCGTGTTCCGGGCTGAGCTACGATTGTCTCGGAATTTACTGACAACCAAGGCGTTTTAAAATAGAAGGCCATATAAGCGTGTCGGCTTTGTTCAAAACTGGAAAAGGTGTCATTTGTCCTGTCAATTTCAGTGTTAAACGCGAATTGTGGAAAAGTGCTCAATATTATGAATGCGCTTTGGACCAACAGTAGAAACATACTAAACTTGATGATGAAATTGAACTTTCATATTTCATGCTATGAGTTTATCAGCAAAGACAAATATCTTCTTAAAGCGCAAAATCACAAGAAAATTATAAATTTAAATACCAGAAACACTGAGTTTTTTGTGTTTGATGTTTGTTAAATAATTAAATCTACTTGGCAACATTTCCCCTGTTTAGTGTTTTTTTATTTATGCCTCAAAGATTCAACATTTCACAAGTTTCTTTGATTATGATAAAATTATTTAGAAGCTTGGAGTTTGCGAAAATACCGCTGCACACTCATCACTCTTTGACGCCCAGCGCGCACTGTTTGTTACTTTTGATGTCTTTCGTGTTTCACAAGCTTCTGTTGCATCAATTTTCAAATTCTAGACATTAAGGTGTCCCGGAACGGTTGGTAATACTAAGTTGGCAACCCTAGTTTAGACAGCAACATGAGAGTGACACGTTCACATCAACTCACCGCTTAAAAATTCGCCATTTCCTTCCTGCTATTGTACTTTGATAAAAATAACCTCGTCTTTGGATTACTCAGGTATTCATGTTGCTTGGAAAGATATTACTTACCTTACGTGACTCAAGGACACCCTGAAATTTCACGCAGACGTGCAACAAATAATGTGAATCTTGCACACTTTAGCGTGATATTTTATGGCTTCATGTACTGTAACTCTAATATTTTTGGACCAAATAAGAACAGATATCGACACGCCAAATTTCGGTTTTTAAAAGTAGGAAGATATTCCATACACATTAATTTTCCAGGAAGGTACTTGATAACACAATTTCATTGTACGCTTTACTTCGAAGCATGCCAAAATATCCCCTCATAATAATATAAATACCACATATACTTTTTTTACATTGCATACGTTTGGATAGACAGCACGATAACTGAGTGGAAGCGTTTCGCATGCCTGCAAATTACCATGCCAACCGTAATCTAAAAACCCGAAATATAAGCGCATTAGTGAGATATTATCGCCGTTCATTGTTGCCTCAACTAGCAGTGCGGCAGTTCAACGAAAATATATTATTAATCTTCAGCCTTCTTGATGACTAGAGGCTATGATTTCCTGAATTAAATATACAGTTGAAAGCAATGTTTGTGGTCCAGATCTGGTAATATTGTTTACTATTTGTGGTTGTAAATTCAATAATTTATCTTTACCAATACGAATAACAAGAAAAAAGAACGCGCTACGTATATTTCGGACTTCACTTTCATACCTTGGTTTCTCTAATACATTTTGGTCGGAGATTACGCTGTATGTGTAATTTAAACCGAGTTTTTTGATACCTTCATTGGCGCTTCATATTTCTTATGTATGTTATAATATATTAATTAGAAAGTACGCACATTCAGACTCAAAACCACTTGTAATGACAATCGATTACAAATTTACAAATATGGACTCTAACAACAAAGTATTCCAACTTTTAACTTGCTGCTCTTAGCTGAACTTGCGTGACTTCAAAACCCTATCTAATCCTAGCTTGTATAAATCATGCACAGCGATGAACGTAATATTGCCACAATACTATGTTAACCACAATCTCGCGTGATCTCGATCGGTATAGTTTTAAAAGCGTGGTAGAGCATGTACAACAGACGATCGATTCAATACGAATATTATATTTACTCCTGTGGCATTTTTGATAAATGGATTCTCCTGATTGCTCTGTTAAATAACTTGTTGCATCAACAGTTACATGGTATGTCACAGTAAGAACTTACATACACGCTTATAAGTATAAATATATTGCTGATCTTTCATTTCGTAAATGTTTATTTCTTCATCTATTATCGAAAATAAAAACACGCTTGCAAATATTTTAAGGACCGATTATTTTTGCGATACAATGGACGGTTTGTTAGTAAGATCTGGGTTAAGATTGAATAGATTCTTGCGAATATGCGTAACGTAAATTCCCCTTTCTCATTTTCTATCAGAAATTGGTTCTATAGATAAACTATGTTCATTCGGAACTGTAAATTTAACTTTCTTTTTGCATAATATTGTATTACGTAAAATATTTGACAAAAAATCATGAATAAATAATTTATTGAACATCTGATATATTTATAAATGAATATTGAAAAAACACAAAGTAAAAATATACTCATATCGCTATAAAAAATATCGCATTTATGCAGATTTTACACAAGAAAAATTACTTTTTACTTTCACGATAAAATTACTGTATACTAATTTTTACACATGCCGCATAATATGATAAAAACAAGAAGTAAAAATATTGATGATTGGAAGGGAGTTTCAGTTGATCGGGCCATGCATTTTGATCAATAATTGGGGATAACTTCTGCGACATGATTTGCCTTACATGGATGAATCAAACTCTAGTCGCCTTCAGAAGAAACCTACATACAGACTTCGAACTTTACATAGCTCAAGCTGTGATAAATATGCTTTGAACGTACGCCCTTATGGTCCATGCCAGCTTTTATTTGCACTTCGTCGAACATGTTAACCACAACGTCATAAATCTTCTACACGGTGGCTTAAATAAATTCTTTATGGCAGAATTGAAATCACTTGAACAAGTTTGTTATTTAGTCCCGATGAAGACTTTTGCTGGTTGAATTTTTGAAGCAGACATCCTACTGCTAGCGACTGTGGTGTTTTTTCCTTCGCAAACGTCCGAGATGTAAAACTTTCCTACAGTGACGAGACACATGACTGAAAACAAGAAGGTAGTTTAGTGAACTATTATATAAATAACATTGAAAGAATAGAATATTTAACCACCTTCAATGCGCTCTTTGCCCACGATAAATAAACTACGAGTAAATGTGATTTTTGTTCGAAGTGTTTGCCTACGGTGATATAATTCGAAATAATGTTTGTTTTTCAAACACAAGAATTTGTAATGATATGCAGTACATTCAAGTGCACGAATCACTCAAAGACAAATTCATGAACACAAAAAAATTAAATATTAATATAAATGCTTATCCATGACAGCATTTTTATGGATTGTACATTTTTCAGAAATATATGCAAGGCATCTGATTTGAACTCAAAACAAATTTTTAATTGTTAGCAAAGTTTTTATGGCATATACGTCGTACTTTTACCTATTTGAATTAATTTGCCTAATCAGAATATGAAAGCGGATGAAAATTTGATATTTTTGATTAGATGCATATTCATATACAAAATATTATGATCAAACATATGTCAATGACAACTTACCCAGAAATTTGAATTTTCTTGAAACAGTTCATTTCTTCAGAGCTTATAACCACCAATGCATCTGTTATTATTGGCCCGCAAATAAGAAATAACATAAAGAAAACAATCATATTCTTCCGGCAAACATCCATTTTTAAAATAAAATATATTTGAAGTATAAACGCGTATTCTTTTGAAGTTATTTTGTAACGCGTTTGTTTTGAAGCTAAGCTACTCTGAATATTTCAACACCGATATGTCAACATTACGGCGTTGCCTCATTTATAAAGCCTCTACCTTTTTTCCACAAACCTTTGACATGCTATTAAAAATGTAGATAAAATATGCTGAGTTGCGGCCCACGCCTGTCTTGGCTAAACTTAGAGAAATATTTTGTCTCGTCATGACGAAGAAAGAAAGTGGTGACTTTCCGCTTCTGTGATTCTTTCTTAAAATGCGTAATAAGGGATATGAGTCGAACTTCCTCACCGCTTCTGACTTGTATTTCACTTTCTTAGATATTTACGGTTTAAATGGACTCGCACGAATAATTCACGCGGGACGTGAAGCGCGTTGGGTATAAATTTTATATTATAGTGCAATGGGAGCTTATATTATTCTTGCCGCGCTATAAACACCTTTTTGAAATCTTTTTGTTTGTTATACATAACATTTTGGACCACTAGGCCGTATGCTGATATTTGTATTGTATCATATAGCAAGCCGGTTCCATTACATTTGAACCCACGTACATTTGAACCCATGACAATTGCACCTGTATGCTATTGCACCTATGGAATTTTTTTTGTTTCACGGATAGTTAAACCCATACTAACCCTAACCCATGGGTTTTAGCACCCGCATATAGATGGAACCCGTGGATAGACGCATAGGTTCAAATGTACATGGGTTCAAATGTACGGTCACCAGCAAGCCATACACAGACGTTTCAATCGAAAATTAGAATTCTGTATCAATTCTCCAAAACGCGAGTTTTGAACCATTTTATGATCATATTCCGATGTCGTTATCAGACCCACTTCAGTTTAACTAAGCAATTTTTATACTATGATGTCCCCAAGCAAGGTAGCCCAACAATCACACTACTATAGAACGACCGTGTGCATGTGTAAAGGCTATATTTGGGGAATTGTTTAGAAAACGAACTCATATACAACTTTCACAATTTTAGTATTCTGTAAGTTTCACTTATATTTTTTACTATTTTCATCACGTATCGGCCATGAAAGGTTATTTACCCAGACGAAGTCAGTTATTGAATAAATGTTGAATAAACGGGTTTGAGTGAAGCGGCACTTATTTTTGTAATGTAATAAAGACACAGCGAAAACTAAAAATAGTTAGCACTATTGATATAAATTCACAATTCGAATAAGAGCTTCTAATAAGTCTCTTATTGAAATCAGGTTATTCATGTTGGCAAATAAAAGCACAAAAAATAAAGTCATATTGAATGGTGACATGATGGTTTTGACTATATTAGGGCTACTGTACTCGGGTTATAAATGACGGCATTGCGCTTTAAGAGCACTTGACCGAAATTAAGAGTGGACATTAGCTTTATTACGCATCACTCAACATCGATGACGTCATCAATGCAAAGAGGAGATTAGTTGTTGGACATTGACTAATTAAGGCATAAAATCGCTACGCATGAAAGATAGTTTCTCCTATCTCATTTTAAAATGACGAAATTCTTTTTCGATGATCGAACGTAGTATCGTGTTTCGAATTGAGGGTCAGGGTTACGACCTCGTTCAAAATACGTGTAATGGGTTTATAGTGGTGGTAGATATCGTTTATAATTGATAAAATGGTAAATACTTATTCTGTATAAATATATACAAGTAAATGGACCAACAGAACACATGACGTAATCAACATTCATTGAAAAAGTTTTATACATATAGGCAATTATATTATTTAGCCTGGGGTTATATTTTTTACAGCATATATTCATTAAAAAATGGTCACACACAGCGTAGGCTGTAACCTGATATTTTATTTAGATTATACTTAGAACCAGGTCATGAACAACATGCCACTCAAACGTGAGTTGTGTCACTTTCAAAATTAGCATACAGGTCACAATAACGTATATTTCCATTTCCACTATTTTCTGAAGTTTGACTGCCCAAGCCTAACATCGACAAATAAACGATTCCAGGTTTCCGGCAGGTCATCATCTTTCACTTGTTATGACGTCACTCACGTTTCGAGACACCGGGCCAATTTGCTTTCTACGCTTGGCTGAGTAATTTTTATCATCGCAATGCCTATTATGGAATTTGCGTCTAGTCGGTAAGGTTTGTATTGATTTGACGTTTGTGGTTGTTACCGCCAGGGTAATACAAATGATCTACCGTAGCCGTGTTGTGGTCAGACGTCTTTACCACAAATTGATATGTCGTCTCGTTTAGGCTCTAAGTAAAGGTATGATATCACTTGAAATAATGCCTAAAATCCCTTTAATCTTATGCATAGCATGAAAGCCAGGTGATGACTGTCAACTAAAATCAATCGCGGGGTTTAGAAATGTGTGGTTGCACATCTGGAAGTTCTCAGGTAACTCTTTTACGAGGTTTTATTTACTGTAACAGTGTTGTTTGCCTTACTGCAACTGAACTTTGCCTATACGGTGTTAACACAATAGATGGTGATATATCATTTATTTACTGATAAAACTCCATTCAAATAAACTTCCATTCACTTGTTGCAATCAGTCGGCCCAATCAGTATTGCTCATTTTCAGTCTGCGAATACATTTTCATATTACTTTATATTTTCATTTTATGAGATCATGTTATATCAATATGTTAGAGCAGGGGTGGCCAACCTTTCACATACCATGCGCCACGTTTTAAACATAATGTTTCAGATGCGCCGTAAATCTCTTGTATTCCCACGCCTAATGTCCGCTTCTTGTTGAAATTATACAAATCCATGTTTCAAGCTGATAAATGACGATTTTCTATTTTTCCAGAAGTTCTGAACTTTTTACTTCAGTAGGGGAAAAATAGTAAATTTTACTAATTTTTGCTAAAAGTCTAGAATGAATGTCATGAAGTCCGTCCAAAAGCTAAGGTCGATAATCGCCTGTTGTTTCTAATTCCAACAAGCCGTAAGTGGGCGACGTGGAGTAAGGAGAATAGATTTTAGGTACAATCAAAATTCACCATGTAAATCGCAAAAAAAAGGCTTGGCTTGGAGAAGCCAAGTGCAATTAACAATTTTGGCCTGAAAAGGGTTAAAGATGCAATGCGCCACCTCTAATCATGCAATGCGCCACGTTTGGCGCATGCGCCATAGACTGGCCACCCCTGTGTTAGAGGCTATATTGAACCAAATATTTTTTAAATAGAAAATGCACGAAGTTTGATATAAACATACGTTGTTATTCACCAGCTGAGGTACTAAATAATACTTATAGGCTCAGTTGTTTTTGTATAATATATAATCGACGTCCCTAATAAGGTCTTTGTTGTAGCGGGATTTGTGCAAGAATCAGGATCACCTCTCCTCGCTGGATCTTTAGTTTATAAACTCGACCAGCGGTATTTTCTGCAGCGAAGTCATCTGTACCGACCATATAAAGTTCTCTTAAAATATATTTTGGGTGTAAATGAAATTTAATATCTTGGGTTACATCAAAGCGAAAGTAGTCTCACGATCAACCATGCAAAAACAAACAAACGGGGGGATGAAAGGGCCTAGCTACTTTGGGGTTTAACTCAATTCGGCATCGAAAAGTACACTTAAACAATGTTGTACCATTTTTTTTCCTCAAAAAATACTCTCTTTCCTCAATGTAATTATGCTCTAATGTGAACGCAACAAATTCATCTAACATTAGAAGACTGATATATCAGAATTGAAATTGTCATTTATCAATTCAATAAATACCAGTAGTCTTCAATTCGCGCATTATCTATCATTTATCAACTGTGGAGTAACTAAGCATAAGTCTTACTTTTTTATACTACACCTCATATATGTTTTATATATATGTACATTTTTATGAACAAAATTGCAAAAATGTGCAAAAAAAGGAAGTACACCAAGCAAAAAAGCGCGATGGCCTAGAATCCTAGATTACCAACAGGATGTCATGAGTTATTTTCCTTGTACGTTTTCTCATTTGGAATAAAATATTCAAGTGAACATGCAGTGGAAACGACACTTTTGATGCAAAGATTACGATTCTCCAACTGACAATATAAAGTTAGCCAGAGTACTTTGTAATCTACAATTGTTGCAAATATTTGCTGATCAAATACATATAGTTTCATATATCCATCTTCTTCTAACTGGAAAATCGAAAAAATCAAATCTAATTGGTTGTTGGGCGGTATTTAAATTGTACCAGGATAGAATAAACGAATTTGATTCTTTATCTATATATTCAAAAATGTGTTACAGGGATTGCAATCTCAATGTCGGATGCTACTAAAACATCTGAATCACGTTAACTCATAACAGAGTCTGTCTGTGCATTGCGTTAAGGGTAATTTTTTGCTCTACATCGCCTTCTACCGTCCCATTATAAATTTCTTTTTTCCATAAAAAACAGATATAGATTCTACAGCTGATACAAAGGTCAGATAACTAGTTAGGAAGAATAGATATATACTATATATTAAAAGCACTAATGCAGCGTGTTGATTTGCCCAGTCATACAACGAATAAGTGCAAATGCGGCCAATCGTAGGCGGATTGCTTTTTCATTTGGTGAACAATCGTCCCAGTTAAGTAATATTGAAGTCGAACATATTTGTGCCAGCAGATAGTATGTACAAATTGATAAAACTGCGCTCTAGACACTGATAATAATAAAAAAGACTGAAACTTATTCAATTTAGTACAGTGTTTCTAAGAATTTAAATACTGTACGAGTCGCAATGAACTGAAACATAGAAACGAAGCAAAGTATTGCGACAAGTGGTTTGAGAACTACTGCATTAGAGATACTTATCCATTCATCATTATAAATCCTTAATAAATTTTACTAAACGGGCTTTGGGAATCTTTCCGAAATGCCGTAGTATTGTGTTATGCAGAAATTTAGCAAACAGTTGTTCTCCGTGAATAAGATTTTATTGAACCTGTCTATTTCGGCTTTACAACAGACCTGTTTCATCTCCTTTGTCCATTCCACGCATCCACATATTTTTAACTCCCAGTGCATCATGTGCTCGTGGGCATTCACACTGAGAACAGGATTGTCATCATTCTAAAATGAGATGAGAGAAACTATCTTTCTTGCGTAGCGATTATATGCCTTAATTCCGTGATTCTGAAAGTGGGCGTCGCAACCCCAAATACTTCGTTTCAACTTTGCTAGGAAGTCGCGAAACTTTTATTTTTTGGCGGAATTGTACCTGTTTAGCGATGCGTAGAAATAGCCTA